CCCTTTTCCACTACAACAGCATGTTTGATGCCATGGTGGATGCCGCCTATAATGCTATTGCATCCTTCAACTTTTCGGATATTCCTGTTGTGGTGACGGAAACCGGTTGGCCATGGTTAGGTGGGGAGAAAGAACCTGATGCCACTTTAGAAAACGCCAAGGCATTTAATAAGAATCTGATCCAACGTGTTTTGAATGACTCTGGACCGCCGAGTCAGCTTGGAACTCCCACTAGCGCTTATATTTATGAGCTCTTTAATGAGGACAAAAAGCCTGGACCTATCTCTGAAAGAAACTGGGGAATATTTTTCCCAAACGGGACTGCAGTTTATCCCCTTTTGGATGATAGTGGCACAGGAAATGGTTTTGGCAATTCCTCTTCCGTGGTTTTCTGTGTAGCAAAGCCCGGGGCAGAAACTAAGAAACTGGAAAGTGGGCTTAACTGGGCATGTGGACCAGGGAATGCCAATTGCACTGCCATTCAACAAGGGCAGCCTTGTTATTCTGACAATAATATTCACAACCTTGCGTCTTATGCCTACAACGACTATTATCACAAAGCGATCAGTTTGGGAGGAACTTGTGATTTTGATGGTACAGCAGAACTAACAAATACAGATCCCAGTGAGTTTCTATGATCCATCATCGCCATCATCATTATCATCATTAGCATCGTCATCAACCACCTTACTCCAAACTCTGTTGGAATCTGTGACATGAAGTTACAGTGTCTAGTTATTGAATCAATTAATTTACATTATAAATTAATGCAAAAAGCAGTGTCAAAGTTTTAAGCCAGATGCCTTTATGTTAACAAGCTTCTATAGATGGGACACTAAGATGAAATGCCAGAAACAGTCTTTTAATACTTGTTATCCACTAGGTTGCATGGAAAACATATAATCATAAGATGTCGAAGAGATAAGCTGTAACGATATTAATTGTAGTCATGTCTCATTGCAACATTGATAGTCATTTTTTTCCTGATATTTTTGACTTTTTCGTGACATTTTATTCTTATATATATGGACACTCTGTAATTGTTTTTTTTTTTTGCATTATATTGACTGGAAACGTGATTTGAAAGTCCAATGTTCTAACTTCTAAGCATCTGCTCACTTCTCACAAGTCACATTACGATAATAGTGATATACTAATTAAACATGCTTCAGATAGCTCTTTTGAATCCTCACAAATCAAAGATTCTGCAACAAGGAGAAGTATTCATATTGCTTTACATAGAAATATCTATTGAAGTGCATGTCATTTTGTTACCGAATAAATGTATGATAAACTCCAATATTTCTTCCTTGCGTGCTAATGCAGGTTATGGGTCATGTAGATTTGCCGGAAGGTGAGAGAGCCTGTACACACTTTTAAGATCAAGTCTGTTTTTGTCCTTAGTTTCATCATCTTGGATCTAACTATATTATCACATTTTTTGTGTGTGTAGTAGGACAAATTCGAGTGGCAGTGGTCGTTTCCCGCCCTCTTCACTCGGACCTGTAAGCCCGGTAACTGCTGAAGCTTCTAGAATACCAGCTTGTCATCTCGGGAATATTTTAGCTATGTTGCTTACCCTGTGGTGTTCCTCAAGCCGAATTCAGCGTTGAGATCTTTTACTCCTAGAGTAGCTTCCGGACTTCCAGTGTAGAATGTAAACTATCTAGGGGTTGATTTTAGACTATTGGAGTATTTCTATTCTTTTTTGTCCTCCTTTTGCTTTGAAATGGCTGTGTTTTGTGCATGGTTTAATCTTTCAGGATCTAGCTTGTTTTGGTAGTTTGGTTTTGATTTCCATTTTGTATTTCTAGCGGAACGAATTGTTCTTTGAAGCTGTCATTGACTCATAACCAGGGATCTAGCTCCCAATCTAGATGATAACCACACCAGAACTGGAAGTTGGACCCAACCCGGTTTGGTTCTGATTCTCCTAAATCGTGAATAAGACTGAACAGTTTTAGTGCACTATTCAAATTTTCAGTATCTCATTTTTTCAATCTTCTCACACAATTGCAGAATTATTCCATTTCTTATTTTTAAATTCTAGTATTATAATCTCTTTGGTACTTAGTTTGGCAAGTATGTTACATAATTATATTATTTGCATTTATCATTTATGTTGTTTACATTTTAGTTTTATTCATTCATTTATACTCAATTACTCATTCTTTATCAAATACTACCTCCGTCCCTTTTTATTTAGCCAAGTTTGACTTTTCCAGTCAATGATGATAAACTTTGATCCATTGTTTTAACTAATATATTTATATAAAAGTTAATAAATTTATTCTTTTATGATAGTATTTCAATAGAGAACATTTTCATATAATTTTCATATTATATTATTATTACTGTGTATAAATATATAATTGGTCAAAGTTGAACAACTTTGACTTGAAAAATAGTGTGGCTAAATAAAAAGGGACAGAGGGAGTAGCATACATAATCTTAGAGTCTGTTTGGAAGTTAGGTTTGGGAAGGGAGGTTAGGGAGGGGAAGGGAGAGAAGACTGTATGACCTATTTTTTTTTATTTAAGAGTTTTAAAAAACATGGCTAATTTTGCAGTCTTCTTGAAATCCTTTCAAATGCTTAGGTAGTGTTTGGATGCATTATTTTAAAAAATGATTTTGAGCTTTTGGTTTAAAAAAATTGAAATTAGTGTTTTAAAGTGACAATTTCTACTTAAATTAACACTTTAAAGCTAAAAACTGGAAGCATATGGGGAGGTGCGTTAAATTACATTTCACGCTTCCTATTTTTTCTTTAAACATTTTTTTTCAAACACTACCATTTTTAACTATTAAACACTTTCTTTAAAATCACTTTAAAAGATCACTACCCACAAGGGTTGCTCAATTGATAAAATGGTGAGAAAGTTGGACAAATGACCAAGAGTTGAAACCCGCAGCGACCGTGTCGAGGTCACAACTCCTATGTGCTGGGCTGGGACTCTGGTGCGCACGAGTATAAAGTTTATCACCGAATTGGTTGATTCATCGTGATTTACAACCATTGGGGTTGGGGAGCCAACCTTTTGGACAAACTTTAAAGTATAAGCAATCACAAACACTTTCTTAATTTCTATGTTTTCCAAATTGGGTGTTTTTGTAGGATAGCTTATTAAATAAACACAGTTTCAATTATTTAAATTCTTTCGTATTTTATCATTTTTTTTAATTTGTAACCCCTAAACAAGAACCAAATATCTCATTCACTTTTGCCTCCATCCTTTTAAAGCTTTATAATTAGTCTTAAATGGTTACACACTTAGCAATTAGTCTTAAATGGTTACACTTATATGGAGAATAAAATATGAGTAATGGGGTGTTTGGGTGAAAGTGCAAAAGTGATTCTAGTGCTCAAATTTGTTCTGAGAATCAGTTTTTTAGAAGCTGGAGGTGACCAATTTCTGAAAACTGATTATGCTTCTACTTTAAAAAAGAAGTAGAAGCAGAATCAGTTCCAAACACCCCTAACTCATGTAAAAAGATTCATAGTTACGGTACACTTATCTTAAGGCTAGTGAGGTCATTAACACCCCACAATGCTAAAAAATTATAGGTAACATGCATATGTTTAGGCATTTAGCACCATTAATACACGGAGTATATAGTTTTAGTATAATATATGTACAACAACTACTATGATAAGTAAGGGAGTGTGTGATGTATACATGACAAAAATCACGTAAAAAACAGTATGGATTAAATGCTACTTCATAACAATCATAATAAAGAAACACAAACAATTTAGTGAGTCAATTTGCTTAATTTCTTCATATTCTCAAGCAAAATAATAATGAGTCTTTGCCTCCATAGGAAATGATAATTTTTTTATAATATGTATAAGTTACTAAAATTGTAAGATAACTTATATTTAATTAGTTATTACAACATATTTTGTCATAGTCATTCAGGCGCAAAATTTAAGTATATTATTTTTTTGTAACTTTACCTATATAAGTTTTCAATTTTCTTTCAATATTCTAATACTTCAATAGAAATCTATTACATCATTTTTAAGGAAAGTAGACAGTACTTTAAATGTTTTTAACATTTTTATAATACAATATACAAACTATTTTTTTAAAAAAAGGGAAAAAAATAAAATAAAAAATTAAAAAGAATTTAAAAAATAAAATATACGTAGTATTCAAAAATTTAAAAAATTCTTAAAAGTAAAAATAAAATACCTAAAAAATATTAAAAAATATATGTAGGTCACAACCACCGCATTCTCCACCTTCCAGCACCATCAGCTCCGATCACTGAGAAAAATGGTCATTTTATGTAATAAATGCCGCATTTTTTGTGAAAATGTCTTGAAGATGTCTTTTTTACTCTTTGAAAATATTTAACTTTCTTTTCAAAATTGCCACCACGATGACATTTTTTGTCAACTTGGCATTCTTTTTCGGCAACCGGAGGTGACAGTGCTGGAAGGTGGTTGAGGTGGTGGTTGAAGCCTATATATTTTAATTTATTTTTTTACATTTTTTTTATTTTTTATTTTTTTTATTTTTTATGTTTTACTCCCTCCATCTCATTTATATTGTCCCGTTTTACCTTTTCGGGAAGTCCTACTTAAATTGTCCCGTACTATATTTGGCAAAGTTTGTGTGGCTCTAAATCATTCTTACTTTATTCTTACTTTATCAATTAATATCAATCACACAAACCTACTTTTCTTAATAACCGTGCCACCCTCTTTCGGGACAATATAAATGGGATGGAGGTAGTATTGTTTAAAAAAAGTCCTATTAAAAATGACAAGGGAAAAAGTAGAATATGAAGAGTTATTCCTTTTATGAAAATTTATAACTTTAAGCTCCTATTATTGCAATTTTATTTTTATTTAGTCCTGTTTATATAAATCTCCCTATTTTTTATTATTATCAAACATAGCAATTTTTATTTTTTAAAAATTACATTGTTCAAACACAGTCTAACTTTTATTTAAAATATAACTTAAAAAATCTCTTTTTTTTTCTTCCAAAAAAAAGTACGGAGTATAACCGGAAGCCCTCTTTGTTTTGCTAGCTACCCACTCCATCATCACAGAGAAAGGCAAGAACGCAAGAGCTCCAGATTAAGATCCGTCTTTCACTCCATTGAAGGTGCGTCGTTTTTGTTTGTGCAATCGAACCAGCTTACCTTCACTTCGTTATTTAGGTGGCCGAATCTAGTCTCTCCATTACCACACTTAACGCCTAGCAACATGATCTGCGTAAAGGATTGAGACATCCGAGCCCAGATGCAATATTGTAAACGAGAATAGCCTTCTTCTGTTATGTTTGTTTATGAGTTATTTGTATTCATTCTTGCGTGATTTTAGGGTTCTACCATGCTACCATCCCCCTTTTGTTAGTTTGATTCCCATCTGAATCCCTAAACCCTATAAAGTCTCAAATCAATTCAGCCTTTTCAATCTCAGTCATTTTTATTTTTTATGTTGCAATTTCAATTTCAAAATATATCAGTGTGTATATATAAATATAAATACTACTACCTCCGTCCGGTTGGAAGGTTCGCATAGCAAAACGGAACGGTTATTTAGGTGATAACTAAATAAAGTACTTCGGATATATTTTGAGAAATAATTTTAATAGGTATATATTATAATGTGTTGGTATTGATAACTGTGATGTTATAAATGTATTATTTTTAATCAGTGGCGGAGCCAAACATTTAGGGTTAAAGGGGTCGGTCCTTAACAATTTTACATTGCAGGGGCCAAAATTTAAAATATCAACATACTTTCTACAGATTAAAAGTATTTATACATAATATATACTTAAGATTTTTTTTTCTTGCAGAGGCCGTGGCCACCGCCAGCCCCTCCCTGTCTCCACCCCTGTTTTTAATATTTAAAAACAGGAAATGAAAATGGAAATGAGAACCTTCTAATGGGACGTCCAAAAAAGGAAAGTGAGAACCTTCTAACGGGACGGAGGGAGTACTATTGTCATAACATAGTTCAAGTACATTATTTAATGACACATGAATCATAGTTTTAATTTTAATGCTAAAATAATAATTAATTTCTGAGCTACAATTTCTCATCAAACATCTAAACGAAAATAAATAGTTGTGGGTGTGTTAAACCCGGCCGACCCACAGCTTCTGATCAGTTGGGATGACATCTCAGTTCAGGAATGGTGGTGGAATGTGTGTCGACTATGGCTGAACAGAGGTCAAACGATTCAATGCTGGAAATGGTCAATCTCCTGCTCGAGGCGGCAAGGTATGCTGACATTGAAGATATAAAGAGCTTAGTATCATCTGGTGTATCTCTTGATTCAAAGGATTCACAGGGCCGAACTGCACTTCATATGGCTTCAGCCAATGGGCATCTTGATGTTGTAAAGTATCTCATTGGTAATAAAGTGGATGTCAATGCATATAACGAGGAGAAGAACACACCTCTTCATTGGGCTTGCCTTAATGGTCACATTGAGGTAGTCAAGAGCTTGATCCTTGCTGGAGCGAGTGTGTCAGCGCTGAACATCCATGAGAAGACTCCATTGGACGAGGCGTTGATCGCAAGGAAATTGGAAATTGTCGATGCAATCAACCAAGCAGTGATAGAGTTTGAACTTCAACGTGCAAATGTCTCTTAGCTTGACATTGCTGTATCAATCTTAGTTTTACTGTATGAGTGTGCAAGTGTCTCTTAGCTTGACATTGCTGTATCAATCTTAGTTTTACTGTATGAGTAAGCATTATAGTATAGGTTCTCTAAAAGAATGGTCTGTGTGGTTTTGTCTTGGAAGCTTGAATCTTTCATCAAATTTTGGTTTTGTCTTGGAAGCTTGAATGTTTCATCAAATTTCGCAATTATCAAGCGGTAGGCTATAAAATGTGTTTGTTTGATGCTCAAAGGAATGCGATGTCAACAATGGGAAATTGAACTGTATTTTACATCAAATTTTGCAATTACGTAGTGGTAGGCTATAACATTTGTTGGTTTGGTGTTAAAAAAGTAGTTATGACGTTTAGGCGGACATTAAATCTAAACTACTAAAGAATTTTTCTTTGAAAGTAGTATGTAATATTGACAGTTGCAATAATTACTTATGTCCTATATGAAAATAAAGGAAATCAGATAAAAAGTCCATCGGAAACTTGAAATAGGATAAAAAAAAATGATGGAAATGAAGTCACAAATCAAAGAGTTTTGCTAGGTGTACACAAAATGTGTACACCTTTTGTGTACACTTGTCTGTTCTTCGCAGACAAGTTGTCTGTCAAAAGGATAAAAACGCCACTTCTAGGTCGACTGTTGAAGTAAGAAGGCACCCGAAAGTTTGTACGTGCGATTTGGGAATGAATTGGCTCCTGAATCGGGATCCAACTTAGTGGATGACTTTGGTGTTGGTTAGTTAATGACTTTGGTGTTGGACTTGGATCTACACTGGTGCCGAACTTCCTGCCTCATGAAGAAAAATGGTGACAACTTCGGTGAACACCCCAAATCGACACGGGCCTGTCTAAACCTGCACAAAACAGGACAACGTGCAAGATGGTTTTGACTTGAAGTGAAGATATTTGGAGGTTGTGACCCGAAAATGTTTCTCCAAAATGATTTAGGATCACAAATAGACCGTTAAGGATCATTTCCTAGCATATATAAACTCTCCAATACATCCCAAGTTAATGATTCAGTCCATTAGTTAGTTACTTGCTTTTATATTGTTTCTTTCTTTTTCCCGGTTTTCGTGATGTGTGGAAGTTTACTTTTTGCATTCATTGATTTTAAGGTAATTGTTTTTTCACTTTTTTTGTATTTTAATGTTCTTTTACTTTTGATACATTGTAATCTTGATTAATATGAGTCTTAGAGACCAAGTTCTAAAGCCAATGCTCGGGATAAGCCTCTACGCTCGCTATTCAATTCCAAAGTTAAGTATCCACATATAAGCTCAAAGAGGCGTGCTTAGAAGTCACACGAATGTAATTAAGCTTTTCCTAATTGATGCAAATAGAGTGACAAAATTATGTTATGTTACAAATAGGATATTTTTACGTAGACTGAAATTTGCTAATCTAGTCTGTTTAAGTCTGGCCTGGTAAATGTTTGATCTCTATGTATTTTAGATTAAGAGTTGCTAGCTTGTTTAATTGATCCTAACTACAAAACACCAACACCAGTTGAGCTGAGGCGAAGTACTCAACTTCAAGCTAAAAGTAAGGGAATGCTAAGAGAGAATGTGTGAAGCTATTTAGGAATGCTCTTGGATCATTTGGGGGTCAAATTGATTGGGGTTGTCTTTGCATTTTCTGAGATAGGAGATGACATGTTTTTTTGTTGCTCGAAGCTCTTTCTTTCCTTTCCTAGAGCATGTTTGGCAGACATAAGTCTCTGACTTCTAGCTTTTATACTGTTCAAAATGTTTTTAAAAGCTTCTAGTTGTTTGTTTGGCATGACCATTTTTAAGAGCTTTTCGAAAATTAAAAGATCTTTTTTGAGATGCTACAAGGACTAGCATCTGAGAAAAGCCCATGACTTTTAGTATTAATTAGTCCTAAGAGCTTGTATACTAAACCGAACTAAATCAAACAGTCAGCTTTTAACCAAACAGCTAAGAACTTATTTGACCCCTTTTATCCAACTTCGAGTACAAAACTGACCCTTTACTAAATTAACATAACTCCAATGTCCATCTTAATTGAAGGTAGTCATATCAACCAATGATTGAAAACTAATTATATTTGTGTAAAATGTTATACGCATGAAAAGTCAACAATAATGTATATACTATACTCCTATGCAACAAACAAATGATTTTTTATTTACACCATGGCCATGGGTAGGGAAATTTGAGATACAGAGGCCCGAAATTGTGTTGGAAAATTATTAAGTATTTCAAATAAACAAAATTCATTTAAAATGTTTTTTTTATTTAATTAATATTTAGAACAATAATGTACGGATAACACTTTAGCCAGATTTAGTTTGTTGAAATGCTTGAGTGTTGACCGAGTATTTTGGGAGCATGGGTGTGTTGCTTGGCCACCCACAACTCTCTCCTAAGAGCATCTCCAATGGGGTAGTGGATTGGAGTAAAGTCTATCCTACGTGGCATAGGAGAGAGATAGAGATAGAATGATTATTTTAATTTAATATGGAGAAAGTGGTGTGTATGAAAAATGAAAAGGAAGAGAGAGATAGGAGTAAATTGTAGACAATGTGTATGACAATGTCCACAAATAGACTTTACACGGGAATCGAGGAGTAAAAGTGGATCAAAAGTGGGTTAAAAGTGATATAGAAAAATGAAAAACAAAATAAATGTGGAGATATGTAAGTCCTACACATAAAATTTGTGAGATAAAAAATGGGACCCGTGTGTAAGAATGTGGAAGAGAGTAGACATCCCCATTGGAGATGCTCTAAGTACGTGGATCACCTAGCATCCCCAACAACTTTATTTTATCAAATAATTTACATGCTTCACATCTCTATTTAATGGACTTACGTGATCGAAGACACTTGATAGAGTATCTAATTAAGTCCGAATACTTTAAACTATACATATAATATTACGCTAAATAAACTGCTGGGTTACATAATCAATACTTCTATCCTCGTAGTTCTGTGTCCGGCAATTTAGCCGAAGAGCCCGTTATATCTTGGGGGAAGATTTCCAGCCACCGGAAATACTTTCTTTAGGACAGCGACTAGCGCGTCTCGGGCTGTTTTATTTTTCTAACATTGTTTTGCAGGTTACGACGATTATCTCCAACAATCTAAAGAAAGTAAATATCGTCGGAAACTGCCGCTCGCCCCTAATTGCCGGAGAAGTCAGTCGCCAGAGTGCCAGATATCCGTCGGCCAGAACAGGTTGCAAGTGAGATGATGAGGATGGACGCAAAGTCGTTGCATAATTGTACCGTTACTTCTTGACCGTTCTGGTGGTTGTCGTCCGCGTCATTTGCTGCTAGCCCCCTGTATTATACGTTCTATGCCCACATGCCTGCTGCGAATGAAATTTGGTATCTCTATCAATTACTTTAGTTGCATTTTTTATATCTTCGGGAATCTGCATGTGTTATCTTATGGCAATTTGTGATAATTTTAATTGTTACCCTATTCTCAATGAGCCTTGTTTTAATCCCAAGTGTTGTAATTTATGTCATTTTATGTGATAAAAAGACAACTATGAGAAACAATAATCCACTTAAATCAAAATTAAAATTGATTAAAAGTGATGAAGATTTTATAGCAGTTGTTTCTCAAAGTTGTAAAATAAATGATGTGAATGAATGAATGGTAGACTCCGGGGCTACCAAGCACATTTGCAAAAACAAAAGTGCTTTAACCTCCTATATATCTTATTACTATTATAGGAGATGATGAAAACCTTGTGTACCTGGTGGACTTAAAACCGCTAAGGTGCAGGGTAAAGGAAATGTTATTCTTAAACTCACATCGGAGTACACTTTATCACTAAATGACATGTTTTTGTGCATGAGATTCGGACAAATTAATTTTGTTTCCGTTTCTCTCTTGATATAAATTGGGGTTAAAATATCCTTTGATTATGACAAAATTGTCATGACTAAAGATGTTTTTTTTTTGGCAAAGGCTATTGTAAGAGTGTTTGTTCTGTGAAATATAATGTTTATGTATTAAAGTACGATAATGCTCTCACTTAATTGATTGATTCGTATGATTAATGGGATGTTTTGGAAGTATTAATTACATGTGGTAATATATTCTATTGTTGCTATTGATGTGTTAATTCCTATGGTGTCTTAATTACTTGTTGATAAATTCTGTGAGATTTTGTTACTGTGGTGTTAATATCTAATTTATAATTGTGATGACCGAATTGAAAATTCCATTGGTAGAGTAATATGGCTGAGTGGAAAATTCAAATCGGTTTTGTCTTTTTGCATGAAGGTGCAGTTCTGTTTTTTTTTCTTATTAAAAATTGAAATTTAAATTAGTTAAAGACTAATTATACGCTACTGCATGCTTGTAACGCAATCAGCAAATTGCTCATGCACGATTTAGTGCGGTGATTGGTTTGTTAAATATATTGACTTTGTTAGAAGTTATTGAATGGTCATAATTTTTAATTCGTTAAGTACGATGTTATTGCATGCACATTTATACGTTTTTCTGGAGTCTTGCGTTGAGTTTTTAAATTGCGTATGCTTTAGTCTGTTTTGTATGAGGGCATGGTTCTTTCTGGGTTTGCACGTTACGAAGTTTTATTGGCCTAATTAATTAATGATTATCTCTTGTAGTTGATCATGCAAAAGGTTTTATTAACTCTAGCTACGTGGTTGCATGGATAAGCCTGAAGTCAGTTTTGATAAAATTTTGAATTGTGCTTATTATACGTGTAAATGTTTACCCAGTTATATGCCGCGTTCATATCTTGTTAGCCGCATGTTATTCCTCTAAAATTATTGTTCACATTGATTAATGTACGGTGAGCTTAATGTTATACTCCATAAATATATTTAAAATGTGGGGTTATTTTAAACTCATTCTAACGTAAATGAGATACCATTAATTATGGAATAAATTTGATTGGGATTATCCGTTGTAATTAATTGATACAATGATGATATGTTTATTGAGAAATAACCATTGTACTAGAGCAGTACAATGATGTTATATGAGAGTTATCCATTGTATTACAATGATCTTATATATTTTATTAAGAGTTATCCGTTGTATTATCGGGATACAACGATGTCATTTGAGTTGAATATCACACAAGTGATTTTCTATTTTCAAATTGGTGAAATAAACTA